GCGACGTGTTGCGCTCGTCGTGCGGTGTGAATAAATTTGGGCAAGATTTCGTACCTGTCTAGAGATGCATGAACTGAGACCACTTTTTACGTAGTGAACATGGTGCTTTTTTTATTTTGTGTGTCTAGTTGTGGACGTTAGGTGCGCCCGGATAGGAATCTCGATGGCCTCCGGAGCGATATGACGAGAACGTAACTGGACACGTTTGTCGCTACGCGAACGCCCGATTGCCTCCAGCCAAATAGCATTCCTTTCGGGGCGACATGGCTGCTGGAAGGCTCACTGTCGGGATCACGCATCTGACATCTCCGAAAAGTCAGCATTTGCACGCGCAAACAAGCAAAACAAACACAAAAAAAGCACGCTAAGCAAGCAAAGAGGAAAACGAAAGAACCGCGCTATGAAAGCCAAAACCCCGCGTCGCTTCCTATCACTAACACCTGCGACAGCTGCTAAACACACACTACTTCACTTCAAGAAGTTTCACTCAAGCACCTGGGTCAGCACGAAACACTGATCACTTCGCCGAAACGATTAGTCGAGGTAGGCGAGACAGGCGGGAGCAGAGACTTCGGCGGCCATGAAAGAATGGCGAAGCTTTTGTTTGTTATGGTATGAATCCAAACGGAAGTGCCCGTCTTGTAAACCTTTTGTAAAGAATAATAACTCTCATCACATGGGTTATTCTTTAAACGTAAAAATATGCCGCTCAAAATGAAATTGCAACAAATAACAAAGGTTTAACAACCAAGATCTAAGCTGTCAATCAAACTCTTAGCCAATGAGAGCCGATTGGGATTAACGTCACGGAATCCCTACTTCGTGGCGCGCGATTTAAAACGGGCGAAATAGCCGCAAACTAAAATCAGTCTCACGCAATAAATATTGCTGTAACAATTTTTTTTTCTCGCGGAAAAATTGTTTTTTGACATGCTTGTCCCAATTAAGCTGTTTAAAAAAAATCTTTTTTTTTTCTTTGCTGTTACCTTTTAAATCCTTTCTCCCAGTGCAGCAGGCTCCCAGCTATGAAACGGCGCGAAAAGCCTGACAACGGCACCTAGTTTCCCCGATCCCAAAGGAGCGGAGTAAAGCTGATGAATTTGGGCTTTGGTCCCATTGGCTGGCGCGCGTCGACGAGGCTGCCATACACCGCTGCGCGTCAGTTGCAACGACCGCTCACACGATGGCGCTGCGTGTCCGTCAGCGCGCCGTTAACACGGAGCGTCCAAGGTCAGCGCGCCGAGGAGAGCGCGCGCGCTGACAGGCGACGAAAAGTACGCAGCAGACGAAATAAGGGAGCGGACGAGCGGCTTGCATGCTTTCGCATTCACAACTCATAAGAAGTGCTTAGGTTTACTTCGAGCCTTTTTCTGCTCGGTTGCGGGAAAAGTTTCATCCTATCTCACACACCTGCGAAAAAGCGTGACTTGTGCGAGTGGCAAAAGCGGAAATTTGGTTTCGTAGCGGTTAGTCACATACATAGTCTCGCTTCTTCATTTCTTTTTCATTTTTTTTTCATTTTGCGTTCATGGAAGAATATTTGTCTCTTAACTTACATACCAGTGTTAAGGGAGCGAAGTTTGAATATTGTATGGCATACACTATACGATGCTTTCCTCTCCACTCTATAGTGTCAGTTCTTTTAAATATTTTTTGCAACAGCTGTATATTCGGCAGACCTTTACATACCTTGTTTTTTGTGTTAAAACATCTTTTTTACGTGTATAACCTGAATTCCCAAAAAGCAAGCTTTTCTGAACTTCTGCATACTCAGCCAAAGCTTTTAGACCACTAAATGTCCGAACTGATTTTGTCTAGTCAGCACGCATTATAGGAAAATAAACACAAAGACGCGCGCAAAATAAATGAAGCTTCAACTGCTGCCTTTATTCAAGAGCAGTTCCACTTGGAGAAATATGTCTCCAGTGACATGTGGCACAAATCACACTTTCCTCTCCTGCATCATTCCTCCCCCCCCCCCCCCCCCCCCCCCCCCCCCCCCCCACAGCACAGCAGTCAGGCGGTCCAATTCTGCGAGCAGAAAGGCGCCGCTCGGTGTCAGGGAACACGGAGTGTTTCTCTTTGCACGTGTTGTAAGGCACGTTGCACCAGCACTCCCTTTTTCTCTCCGCCATATTTGACAGCGTTGTGAGTCTTGTGTCTTTTCAGCACAGCTAACAACCACAAGATGTATCGCTTCATACACGACTTAAAATAAGAAGAAATAGTCACACCAACGCGGCCCATGCCGGTATCGCTAAACGCTAGCTGTCCGGCCTTCTGCGCTCTCTGTGATTGAGAGCGCCACCCCAGGCCCCTACGGCAGAAGTGGAATACATGAAAATCAGCTCCTATGAAGAGACCGATGCCGTCGGCACACCTCCCACTTCTATTTCACCTTAACACCTTAACGTGGTCGGCGTGGTGAAAGCTCATCATCCCGCGTAAAGCGCTGTCCATGACTGTGAATTCTCGTCGTGTGTTGCGATGATAACTCAGCACGTCCTAGAAGGGATGATCCCTCTACTCATGCGGCGATGTTGTGGCGGCACCCTCGAGACAACAGAAACGCTGGTGCTGCCATCTTTGTTTACTTTGACTACAGTGGTGCTTTTTTAGCGTTTGTCTCCTCAAACATTTCCTTGATTTTTTACTTTGAGCATTCCATGCGTGTGCTCAAGTTCAATATATTACTGGTGTGTACTGTATTTAAAGACGCGTACGTAGAATGCGTAATTTGACACGTTTTTATCACCCGAGAAAAGTGATTAGTGTTGGCATTCCCGAACGCTCGCGACGTCTATGTGATCACGAAATCATATTCCCACGTTCCCATATCGCTGCTAAGATTGCATCGTATTTTTTAATCGTAGAAAAGGCGTGTGGCCAGAATTGTACAATCGGTAAAGTCGTGTGATGAAGTCGTGATTGTCTGAGACTGTATATTTTTCCTGTCTTTCTTTTTATCCATCCAGTCTGTCCTTCGTGCCTATCCTGGAAAAGTAAAAATTGATAAAGCTTAAGGCTGTAGAGAACTGCCTGTTGATTTTTTGTTCCGCCAGTGTTACCCAGCGGCGCAGAGCGGTTGTTCCGGTCGCTCAGGCCATAATGGAGGCAGTCGTAGCTAACGCGCTCGTTATAGATGTCTGAGCCAGCCGTGTGCGTCACTCAGTGTTGAAACGAAACGGCGTTCCAAGGAACGACGTTCTTGGAATACTTTTCTTGAGGGGGGACAGAGGAACGCCGATGTTCCATCTTGCATCGGGGGAATTTGAACGGGAACAAAGTCGTTACGTTTTAGAATAAACATAAAGCAGAAATTCGTTTCGTATTTCAACCTCCGACTTCAAAGGATAAGGAATGCTCAAGAAATAGCCGAAAAAAGAAAAACATACTAGAACAAGCATGATGGTGGCGACTCGAGATTTCGATGTGGATGTTTTTACTTGCTTGCTTTATTTTTTCTACGGATTATCCAGCACAACCATTTATTGAAATGCGCAAATGTAATGTTAAAGTACGACACTTTTCAATCTCATAAACGTAATGGGAACACGTTCCTTTTGAACCACTCAGGGAACACAGAGGGAATCAAAAAGAACATGTCCAGAATGAAGCGCGCCAAGCCGTTTGTGGCGTGTGCCTCAGGCGTTGTGTACAGCATTTCTCTTCTCACGCGGCCGCACGTACGTTGAGCGAACGGGATGCTGCCTGGACCAGGCCCGTAGCCAGAGAGGGGGAAGGGGGGGGGGGGGGGGGGGGGGCCTCCGGGTATCGTCCCCCCCCCCCCGGGAATACTTCATTTTGCTGGGACCTCCTCTCCCCCCTCCCTCTCATACAGCATTTTGTCATGGGCGCCCCCCCCCCCCCCCCCCCCCCCCCAAACGAAATCCTGGCTACGTGCGTGGCTTAAACGATACGTTCCGCGAGGGCCGCAGTGGGAGGGCACCTTCAGTTCACTCTAAAGAGTGTCTGTGCGAACCGACTTTCAATATCACCACAATTTTGGGAAGGCATAAAGAAAAAGGGACACGTGAGGTGCTTGAGGCATTCTACAGCCACAGCGGTAGGAGAAACTGCATTAGAGCACCGTCAGTGGCGTTGTCTAGTAAGGAGCTGGAATTCTTGAAACTGACATTGAAGGTCCAGTGCGTGCCGTAATGCGTAGATATCATGGGCAGACGATGTGTGTGGGAACGCGTGGAACAACGTGTTTTCTTTCTCCGTGTCTGTCAGTAAAAATGCATAGTTGTGAGTCAGCGCTCTGTCCTGTCCGGTTTGTACCTTGTTGCGCTGTTTTATCTCATCATGTTTAACCACTACCAACTAGCCTAGCTCCTCAAACTTATTATACTATTAACTATCTACAAACTAGTGATGGGGTTGAGCAGACTACTTCAGTGGAAAAGGGAGTGAAAGAGGCAGAAAGAGAAATCTGTGAGGGAAAAATTCCGGAAAAATCAGCTATAAGGTCACAAAAACAGGAATAAAGAAAGGAACATGTGCTCGACAATTCACTGGAAAATTCTTTACTGTTTCAGGCGAGGACGGGTGTTTTCAGGACGAGGACGCATTGGGCTAAATTTGAGGAGACAGACACATTATGTGCCGCCTGCCTTAATGAGAGCGAGACACTAGAGTGCACTTGGCTTGGAAGTGCACAAGGCTTCGCCCTGCCCTCCCTGAATGGGTAACGGATTTGGCCGGGGCTCTGCTTTTTGGTGGAGACGATGGAAGGAAGAAAGAGAAAACGATTACAGTAACAAAGAGACGAGTAGAAGATTGGTCGAATTTATCTAAGGAAATTGAATAATGCATAGCTAGCACAGATGGGGACAGGTGAGACAGGGGAAAATTGGGACTCCTTCCCGCGTGGCTTCGGCCCAAAGTCTCAACCCTGTCTCCCAGCGGGTCCGGTACTTGGGATGAAACTTGTAACGCGAACTCGTTCCAAGGTTAAGAAGGAACAAGGAACGAGCTTTCGTTCCTGTTTTGGAGGAATGTGTACAACACCGGGTTTCACTGCACCACCGTTCGAGCGATTTGCGATATGATGAGAGGTGCGTTGTTCACACTCGGCCATGGTCAGCTTCTTCCCTGAGACATCGCGCAACAACTCATAAATGTTCGTCGTCCCTTGTACTGATCTTTTTTTCTGTTGCCAGCCACACAAAATAAACATCGCGAATTTTTCTTTTCTCGCCCAGGTACCACATTAAGACACCGCCTTACAGCCCGAAGTATTTGCCTCTGTCCTACTGCTCCACGCTACTTTTCTCCTCGCTCGCCGTCGTCGATAAAGCTACAGTGAAGCCGAAGAGAAGCGAGCTGCACACAGGGTACCTGGGGGAGCTATTCCAGATGCGGCGAATCTCTGATTCGCTGAAGCACCGCTCCAAGGAGGTGCCCGTCTACATTACCCTGGGCGGCGACCTCGCGGACTCTGCCAACATCTCGAAAGCACTCAGCAGCCAGAATAGTCGCAACAGTTTCGCTTACCTCATCAAATATATTACCGGCGGCTTTTTCAAAGTAAGTGAGACCAACGTCGACCTTAATGCCCGTTCACACACTTACGTTTGCTTATAGGACCGAGTTCCTTTGATCTCTACCGACGAGAGAACACACTTAGATCTGAACACGCTGACACGTTGGCGCCATCTATACGGTGACGCAGTAATGCCATTTTACCAGACGAATCGGTCTTGCGTTATTGGAGAGATCAAATCCACGTACCATTTCGATAAATTGGGTCGTTTGTACCACTGTCAAAAGTTTTTCCAGCCAAGAAACAAAGAAGGATGCACAAACAAAATAGGTAATATACGGAGATGTAAAAAGTACCCCAGCTGACCGATAGAGGGCGCCAGGGCTTTTCCTCGTTGTGAGAGATTTTAAGGGGTTTGGAGGCACACGGTCGTAAATAGCCGCAAGTGCGTGAGCCAACGCAGAGCCGTGTATGTAGAGAGTTTGGCCATTCGTTCGGAAATATAGGAGACAAATGAGGAGGTGCCATTGGCCGGAAGCGGGCTGGGCGTGTTCCAGGTTGTCTTCACAAATTCGAATGTGGCCAACCAGAAGCCGGAAATAATACCCTGGTGGTAGTCGCGAGAAACAAAGCTGATAAGTGCATCGGAGTAACTCTCGGTGACTGAAAATGTGGTGCACGTGATATTTCAATCACGGTCATCCAAAATCATGGTGAAACAGTGAGACTAGCGGAACGATCGACATAATCCGTACGCCAAGCGCTGAGGGGCGGGAATCTGCCTACCGAGCGATCATACCCTGTGCGAGCAAAATAGAGTTGAGCGGCGCATTCGTTTTTACATCTTTCTGCATGATCATAATCAAAACATCACGTGCACCATATTTTCACCCATAAAGGGATACTACGTTTAACTTTTACGCGCTTATTAAAACAGCGAGATCTATTTCTTGCTTCCACCATTAGGGGATTCTTTTCGGCTTCTAGTTGGCCAAAAAGAGCACTTTCTGTGTCTGAAACGCCCTGGCTCTGCCCACGCCTCCCATTGACCAAACTCTCATTATACACGGCTCTGAGCCAAAGTTCTTACATCTACCAGTTGACAAGCTCCACGGAGTAGCTTCGGTCGAAGACGGTTCTTGTTTGCTTCCTGCACCTGAGTGGTACAGTCGAATAGCGTTGTCAAACCCACTTTCTGCCAAGCAAACTTTCTGCGTCTGGTGCATGCCCTGGCTCTGCCCGCGCCTCCCATTGGCCAAACTCTCTGTATGCACGGCTCTAAGCCAAAGTGCTTACATCTATCAGTTGACAGGCTCCACGCAATAGCTTCTGTCGAAGACGGTTCCTGTCTGCTACATGCACGAGAGTGGTACAGTCGAATAGCGTTCCTAGCGACACCAGCGGCAACGCCTCCACGGTAAACGGAGAAAGACCGCTTTGAAACGACGCTCGGTTGCACAAATTTCATGTAGGTCATATGAAATACAATAAAACCACTTTGCTAGAACTCGGCATTGATTAAAAACTTTATCCCTAGTAATCGGCACCCTTAAATCAATTAATCGATCGCGTTAATGCCTAGCGTAAGAGCGTCAAAGAGGCGAGAATAAAAGTTTCCTCGTGTTTTTTCGTGATAAAGGTCGCAACGCGCATTTTCAGCTGGAGATTAAAATGTGCAGTTTAGTACAGTGCAATATATACTAACAAATTATAATTCCTCCGGCGAACTCATAGAAGGAGTTTTCTGCTATTCTTTGACATCACTGTGAGTGATCGAGTTTCTTGCTTCTTCGCGGTTATCCTTGCTGTATATCGGCTCGAGAGACGTCGAAGCAGGCGAGACATCCTTTCCTAACGTCCGACATTACTTCAGAGCCGAGGAAGCCCTCCACTGCAATTCGGCTTTCTCATGTCGGATGTGGAACGATAGAAAGAGGACCCAGGCATTTCCGCCAGCCAGTCGACACCATGGCCCGTCGCACCAGGGCGACACGACGGGCGGCTGGCCATTCTGAAAGTCGGCTGCTTTGAGAGGATTGACAACGTCGGTATAGACCAACGACGGATTATGAAAAATGTATAACAAATCATCACCTTGAGCGCCTCCGAGTCGCGGCCCTCGACGCCACAGGAGCGAGGGAAGAAGTACTAAATACCGGATTGATATGCCACTGATCTGGGTGCTCAGGCGTATTAGTGAAGCCCGAAGCTGCGGGACTTTGTCCCACTTGGGAAATCCATGCCTGCAGGCAACCTGCTATCCTCGAGGGCGCCTTCTCTACACTGGCCTAGCTAGACGACCTCTTCCGGTGTGTTTGTGAGTCTCCTGCCGACAAACAGGATGGTGTCTTTGTCCAAAAAGTTCAAAAACGCGGCAATAAAATTAAAAAAAAGGATATATATATATATATATATATATATATTGTTGGGGGATCGGTGGCCGAGTGGGCTAGCGCACGCCAGCCCGGAGCACGTGGAGCGAAAGCTCGCGCTGCAGAACCCAGGCATCCTGGCTTCGAGCCCCACCCCTGCCCGTTTCGATCTGGATGGGCATCGTACCGGCGTGCGGTCGTGTATCACTACTGTGTGGTGCACGTTAAAGACCCCAGGCTAGCGGTTGTACTGCACTGGCTAAATTGCTCATCTACAGCTGGGAGACTCCTCGCCCCTGTGAGGCAGACCAGGTTCTAGGCTGTATAAACATACCACACAACCCAATTTTTTTTTATATTGTTGTTTTATGGTTCACAGGTTTTTGGTTCAAGGAATTAACAAGTTAATGAATGGAATCGCTATTAAAGCAGTATTTTATAAAATCGGAACGTTAATCTATCAATCGCCCAGCCCTAGTTTCCACCGCAGGCATTGCGCATCCAATGTTCTACCTGTTCCGCCGCTTCTTTCCATATTGCGGACTGATAGCGTAGCGAGCGCCAGAAAGTTGACGCGCCACGAAAAATTCCCGCAGGCGTTCGAAGAAGCTTGTCAACTGAGCGTAACCAGTAACGTTACCACGAACAAAGTCCATCTATAAGGCGTCCCGTGAACACCTTTTAAGGGTCATTAGATAAGAATTCACCAGAGCAGACCATATTACTGTAGCTTTCACTTTTTTTTTTCTCGTTTTTAAGTTTCAAATTACAAGATAAAGTAAACACTTTGCATACCGGGTGTTTCTGCAAATGCTTTGAAACATCCCTAATACTATAGCTGCGGTGGCAGTTTCGGATGCTGCCACCAGAGTTTCACTCCATCGACGCATAAGGTCTGCATGTTGTCTTTGGAGAGCCAAATCTTTCCTCCCGGATGTTGCTGGTTTCGTGCGGAGTCGTCGCTGCGCTTCCGTTTTACGTTGTCGCGTACGTTGCGCCACCACCACGGCCGCTCGATCCCCTTCTCTCCCGCTGCGCATCACTGGAAGCACCACCTTCTAGATAAGAAAACCTACTTGCTGAATTCTCTTGCGTGACTCAAAGAGACGACTGTTGGACGCAGATTGGAATCGACCGCGGCGTCATCGTTTGGATGGCACTCGGGTTCTCGTTGATTGAACACGATTTACGGCCGAACGCTGAAGTAGTACCCCAAGCAGCACGGATTTTGGCCAACCAATGGCCAATGTCCGGCGATGGTCTTTTGGCCGGTGGCCAGAGAGTGGCCATTCAATGGCCAATGCTTGGCCGATGGCTGATGGCCAGTGGTCATTGGCCAGTAGCCAAATAAAGGCCAGTCACCGGCCAGTTTCTGGCCACTGTCTGGCCACTTGGCCAAGGACCATTTCCAGCCATTGGCCGATGACTGGCCAACTCTGTGCAGCGCTGCTTGGGACTCGTGTTCAATCCTGCCCTGCGGTGGCCTCTTTGAGTGACGAAGTAAAATTCAGAATTAAGGCTTTATTTGTCCTATGTTTGAAGCGTGCCAAAGACTCTTTCTTTGTTGTAAGAGGGAAAGTGGACGTAACAAGAGAGCGATGGGAGCGAAAGAGCACGGCGCGAAGCACGCCATGGCCTCACCAAATTAGTCCAGTTCAAACCAAACAACGGCCGTCCATACGAAAGACGGCTGCATGCACCAAAACAATAAGTGCTGATGAAAAAACTTGGGAACGCTTAAGCTTCGCCTTTAAGAACGGAACGCGGTAGCGTTATCGGGCCGCGTTCGCAAAGCCTTCTCATCTGAACCCGCGCTCAAACCCAAGCCGTGCAAACGTGTGTGCGTGGTCTAGTCGGTAGCGTCACGTGTAACCTGACGCGTGACGTCACACGTGGCTGCGACAGCACGACCCTATCGACCGGCTAGATTTATCAGAAAACGTTCCGTTAAATTTGGCGGAAACTTTTTCGTTGAATTTTGCAGGAAAAAATTCCGCCAAACTTGGGGAAAATTTTTCCGCTACATTTAGCGGAAAATTTTCTAGCGAAATTTAGTGGGTCGACAGAAGCAGCCACGTGTGACGTCACACGTGGCTGCCCGCGTTGCATTATGGGGTTTTCGGTTCCACCGACGGCGGATTACTTTCGCGTTAAAGCCGACGGTGAAGCTAGAAGAACTGAAAGAGTTCTTTAATAAAATTAAGAACAAGGTGCTTACACAAGCGGCGGGCCGTTTTCCTGGCTCTTTTCAGGAACATCCGTAATGCGAGAGCTCATTGGGCGAGGTGCGAGCTTCTCGTAAAACCTGAATCCGGGTAACAGTTCGCCAGCACGCTCCAGCAACCACAACAATCCTGCGGCATTATTCCCTCTTAAAAAAAAAAAAAAATGTAGAGCCCTTCCACTTTACGGGAAGATGGATCACGGGCGAAGTTTTTACCTTTACGTCGTCTAGGTCCTAGGACGATGCCTAGAGGACAACGTCTGGCTCGACCTCAAGGATGACTTCATGGACAACCTCAAGAATGACGCCTAGAGGACGATGTCTAGGACGACCTTAAGAACGGCGTCTAGGACAACTTCTAGGACGACCTTAAGAGCGGCGTCTAGGACGACCTTAAGAACGACTTCCAGGACAACCTCGAAGACAACGTCTAGGAGGGCCTCAAGGATTACTTCTAGGACGACCTGAAGGACGACGTCTCAGACGACATCAAGAACAACCTCTAGGACAAACTCAAGAACGAAGCCTAGAGGACGTCGTCCTCTAGGCGTCGTTCTCAAGTAGTGTCGGGCGTGCGCCTTCCGCGCCTTGAGGGCGACTTCTAGGCCGACGCCTAAAGAAAATCTGCTTTTCCACTCTGGTGAAAACCCGAGTAAAAAGTTTCCGCCATCTATGAGCGTCGGCGGCAACCAGAGAAGCGGCAAGCCGCTTGTCTGGTTTTCGCCGTCGCTCATAGATGGCGGTAGCTGTCTGGAGTTTTGTGTCGACATTCGTTTGTCTGATGGCACAATACTGGGGAAACTAGCCTTTAAGAGCTCCGCTGTAAAAGCATCTACCCGATGCTCAAATAGAAGGTTACGCGAAAGTATGTGCTAAACGTTCTGCTTTGATATTCTATCTGACCTGGTATGGCTTGAGATGGACGACATTGCTCACTTCTGGTCGCAAACAGCATCGCTGTGACGGCTGGGTTTCGTCAGGTAACCTTGCCGGTCAATTTTTCAAGATGGCGTAGGAGCTCGTACGGGCCAAAGCAGCAACAGAAGAGTTTCTCGCTACGACCTCGTTGGCGGACGGGCGGTGCACACTCCCACACATGGTACCTTGGTTTGTACTCTGTGTCATTTCTTCGAGTGCTGTAGTGTCGGGCGTCCTGTTGCTGCACTTGGATTTGAATCTTCGCTAATTAGCGTGCCCCTTCCGCGCGTTGGAGTAGCGCAGTCCACGTCTTCTGAGAGGTCGTCGTCTTAAACGTACAGCAACATGCGTCTAGTGTACTTGTGTCTTTCCTCCCGTATACGAAACTGAATGGCGTCATTCCTGTCTTCTCCTCCGCTGGAATGTACGCAAACGTTACGTAGGCCAGATGGCATCCCACTTTTGATATTGTACTTCAACGTTCATCGACTTCATGTCTGCGAGAGTCTTGTTTAGCCGCTCGGTCAATAATGGCGCGCAGGTCGTTTCTTGTCCAAGGCAGAAAAATCTACTACATTATATGTGCCATTTCCATATTTTGCCCATATACCTATGCGGCAAGTTGTTTAAGGTAATCAGTGATCATCGCGCATTATGTCGGCTCACATATTTAGAGCACTCTTTTGGACGCTTCGCACACTGGAGGCGGAGAATACAGGGACTTCATGGTTACGCACAAATCACGATGAAAGCGCTCGGACACCGACTGCCTTTCGTGTGCACTTGTTGACTTGCCTCCAGGGGATACGGACAAGGAAGATGGCTTCCTGGGTGAGATCGGTGTTAGAACTTTCGCTCAACAACAGCGAGCTGATCCAGACCTAAACAACCTCATCGATTACCTTGACGACAAAAAGCATCAGAGTTCCGAGAGCCTACAAGCTCGACCTAACCAAATTTTCTGTTAGAAACGACGTAAATAATAATTTCTCAACTAGCAAGGCACATTTTGTCACGAACAAAAACATAAACTTGATTAATAAAACTTAAAATGAGCGTTTAATGCGGCGAACTTCTGCCGAGAAGCAATAACAAAGGCCGCACCTACTTTGACGGCGACGGAAGGACGACTGACTCAAGCAGGCACGTAAAGCTCCTTTTGTAAGCACATGGGTATCTAGAAGTGTCCGAGCTCGAGCAAACAAGATTCGCGAGTCATCTGGAACATTCCATTCATGCAAACAAAACAGAGAGGAAGAGGAGAAGCGCTGGCGGGGATCAAACCCCAGCCAGCGGCATGGGAGTCGACCACGCTGTTGACTCAGCTATTCGCGCGCGGCGATATATCCTGCTCGTGGCCCCGTCTGCCCTCTGCGACAAAGTCCTTCAATCAGCACACGACGAAGCAGCAACGGGATGTCAAGGATTTACACGTGCCCTAAGAAGGATTCAAGATATTCTAATGACGAAAGTAATCCCTGGAGAAGGGGAACAAGAGGGAAAAAGGACAAACATAAATCTCCAAACACAGCTAGCTAGGTGACTGGTGAGCGACCGAAAAAATCCGCCTGGTGCGGGTATTGAACCCGGGACCTCTCCATTACAAGTGCAGTGCTCTACTTGTAATGGAGAGGTCCCGGGTTCAATACCCGGACCAGGCGGATTTTTTCGGTCGCTCACCAGTCACCTACCTGTGTTTGGAGATTGATGTTTGTCCTTTGTCCCTCTTGTTCCCCTTCTCCAGGGATTACTTTCGTCATTCTTGTCAAGCTCGCTTGCACCTTTGCATTTAATTGCATTATAATTATAAAGATATTCTACTATTGGCCAAGCCTTGCTACCCATGTACTCACACGCATGAACTTGCCGAGAATGCCAACGTCTAAAAATGCCGGTCTCAAGCAGTGGCGTCGGAACAAAGGGGAGGGGGGGGCAGGCGATCGCCTCCCCCCCCCCCCTTCCCCCAAGACATTTTGTAGTAATGGCTACTCGCGAGCACGACAGTTTGCATATTTCCCAAAGTGCCGGTTTTCAAGATAATTTGCTGGGAAAATTTTTTTCAGATTCTGTTGGACACGCTAAATATTCATGACAATTGAGTAAATTATTTGAGGCCGCAATTATTTTGAGTCCTTTTAAAATAACGAAATTCGCGAAAATTAGGTCCTCGCGAAAGGGGACCCTTTTCGTTATTTTTGGCTTGAAAATGCATGGCTAGAAAACGAGCGCTTTTTGGCTGCAAGTAGCACGTCAGTGACATACTGTTCACGCGTTGAATTGCACAGACCTCGATAGTGGGGCCCAAAAAGTCACCTTTTCCCACTCTGAATTAACTTTCGCTCCGAGGTCAGCACAAACAAGCGCTCTACTCTCTCTATACAACATGCGCGAAAAGAGATAGGGAAACAGATCTATTTACTGTCCAAGCCATATTTCAGAAAAAGGTATTATGAAGCCGTTTTGTAGGGAAGTGAGTCAATCGACTAAAGCTAAAAACTGCAGAACTTAAAAGGAAGTTAGGATCGCACGCTGCGGGTTTTCACCTGGAAAGCCTTTCAGCTGCCGTCGAACAGGAAGGGCACCGAGACCTGCGGAGCTGGTATCGGTATGCACTGTTGTTTCGGCGCTGTCATCGTTGTGGGGAAGACGCGGGGGAGACTTCATGCAGGTGCTGTTGAAGCTCCCTGATTGCATCTATTTGCTCTTGTTCCCAGGAGGACGGGACGTCATTATACATCAAGCGCATGATAGGGGCTCAGCAAGTTGAGAAAATGCCTTAACAAAACGCCTATAATAAGCACAGATGCCGAAAAACCTGCGATCGGGCTTCTTGTCGGCTGACTATTTCCCGTTTTACAGTTTTCCCGCAATCAGGATGAATGCCGCTTCCACTCACAATCTGTCCGGAAAATTTTAATTTCTTCTAAGCGGAGCGGCACTTCTCCGTCGTAAGTGTAAGTCCTGATGACTTAATTGCCTCGAGTACCGTCTCCAGTATTCGTAAGTGCTCATTGAAATTCGTGGAGAACACGACAACGTCGTCGAGATAAACGAGACAGGTCGGTCATTTCAGGTCTGCAAACAGTGTTTTTGTCCTTGTGAAACGTAGATGGCGCTGGTCAGAGGCGTAAGGGCACGACCTTAATGCAACGATATTCAATTGGAATATTTTTCACTTGACACGAGCTCACTGGCACACCTGGGACTCAAGGATACTCGCACGCAACGCCACTGGCCAAGAAACTCCTTTGTTGCGGTGTAATTTCAAGGACAAAAGCGATCATTTTCATTCAATCCCTCCTTTGCGAAATTTGATGACGTAACGTGGGAATAGCAGTACACCCTAGTGACGATATTTAAATGCGGTTCATAGATTGGACCCGAGCATTACGTGGGCTCGTGATAATTGCTAGCTCGAAAAGCATTCGGGTTGTGACCCGTGTCCAATCTCTGCAACAACGACAACAACCGAGCCATAACAATGTCTGGAACTCTGCGCGTGTCCTGCGCTTGGCCAACCCCAGCGCGTGGCTATGATCAACACTGGCGGCATATAATCGGCTCCAGATCACGTGGCCGCTTGTTCTGGCTGCGAGTTGAGGGGGTGAACGCTGCTCGTTTTTCTTTAATTTTTTCTGGGACTTCTATTGCGTGGGGTGAAAAACGAACGCGTGTTTCATAGGTCATTAACGTTAGGGATCCGTTTTAAGCGGTATTTGCGCAAAGTACAAAAATTGTTGCATCGCTCCTTTAAACTCACAGTCCGCCGAGGCTTGTGAAAGCTGTTTTCTCCTGATCCCTCTCGTCGACTTCGATCTGCCAAAATCTGGTCTTGACGTTCTTCGAGGAGAAATACTTGGCATGACAAAGTCGGTCTAGCGTGTCGTGACGCCCTGGCACACTGACACGCGTCACGCGCTGGCTCATGCACGCAGTGCAACCAAGGATGTCATCACCCTGAGACAGGCAGATATGCAGGCACTCTAGCTCAGGGATTTACTGACTGAAAGTATGCGTTTATTTTCACTCTGTAAAAGGTGGGTTAGTTTTAAGTAATTTAACTAATCATTATGTTTTCTGCAATCCCCGTCGTCCACTGTGGCCGGCGATCACTCCCGTAAAGAGTTTTCGCTTTCTCCGCCACCATACTATTACGAAATTTTTGATTGTTTTCGCTGAAGCACCCGGTATGTTGTTCAGTGCGAGGTGGTGGCACCCGTCGCATACGACCGACCGCGTCCGCAGGGCCTGCACCTGGACTGGGACCATCCAGGCGGGCGCTGCGGGGACCCCAACGATACGGCCAACCTGCAGGCCCTCGTCCTCAACCTAAACGGGACCGTGGAGTTAATGCTGAGCGTGCCGCCGTCGCCTGCCCTGGTGTCCCTGTACAACCTGAGTGGCATCATTCACAGGCTTAAGCTGGTCATCGTGAAGACGCACACCATCCGGCAGGACAACTTACTCTCCTGCACGGGAGACAGGGCAGACGCGCACGCGGCATTTATGGCCATCCGCGCAAGCGTGCCTGAAAGTTACCGCAACAAGCTGGCCTACACCATCCAGGTACACGTTCAGTGTCGCATGACGATGCGTATACGTTAGGGATAGGCTAGAAGGGGGCAATCGCGCGAGCAAGAGCAGTCCCGCAGAACGAGCCTGAAGAGCGCGGGGCATCATCTGTATACGCGAGAAGAAATCCGAGATTCATCAAACACAAATTTGGGGCCGAAGTTTACGGAGCGAGCCGACTGGACCCTCGCGATATGATGACGATAGACTTCTCTTTCGCCGAAATCCAATCGGCTCAATGGCAGGCTGAAGTTGAGCTAGTTGGTATACAATGCAAAAGCTCCAATCGGCTCGCTCCACGAACTGTCGGCTCCCTGACGTGTTTCACGAGTCTGGAGAACTAGCTCAAATGACTACTTTACTTCATGCCCCAGAGGTTTGGTCTTGGATCGTCAGTCTCGGGAGTCGTTACGAATGTTTGGTTCGACGCAAGGGGACCAAAAAATCGGTTGGGCTTCCCCTGAACATTTGGTATATTTTAGGTTTGTGTGTTTTGCGGGGGTTGCTAGACTCAGCCCGGGGCGAGTTAAGGGGTGTGTATACAAATCCCTGTAAGCAGCGCCACCTTGAACTTCAGGGCTAAGAAGTTGACCAAAGGAAATTGCCGAATTGAGCATTTTGTTACCTAGGTATACAGACAATTTTCAAAGGTCCATGAAGTAACACTAATGGTCGTCATTACTTGGGCACGAAGAGCGTAATTTGATCCGAAACTTCGGCGACGCAGCCCTCGTGTCTAATACATGCTCAGAGTATGTTATCAAGCAATGGCGATGGCGCAGACTTTTAATAAGGGCCTATTTTTCCCCCGCAAATGGGAGCGTCCATGGCCCTTTATAGGTATTTAATAGTTCATGCATGGTCAGTTTCATTTAGCACCGAACTCCCAAAGAATTAACCGGTAATTGTGATTGTGACGCTGCTGCCAACTTACAGACGATGGTAGTGACACACAATGAGCCACGAAGAGTGGTACCGCTCTCGGCAGCTGAGAGAAGCAACCCACCGCCTCACCTCCTTTTCTGGCTCACCACACCAGTGTTGTCAACTCAAAAATTAAAACCTCGCCCCAATATTGCTAAAAAAAAAACGCTTAAGTTAAGGGGCAGGTTAATAATGACTGTGTTAACACCATGGCTTGCAATGTTTGCGCTTTAATATCTCAGTGGCGTCGCGAGCGTCATTCCCACTGAAAACAAATGTATTAAGAGTAGGGTGATTCCACGAGAGTTCGAACCAGCAAGTCCACTCAACATTTTTATTTTTTCTATTTTTTTTATATGTGATGTGCACCAGGCACGTAGCAAGAATTTTGTTTCGGGGGGGGGGGGGGGTCATGACAAAATTTTGTATGAGGGGGAGAGGAGGCCCCAGCAAAATGGAAGATTTCGGGGGGGGGGCGCCCATGACGAAATGTATGAGGGGGAGAGGGGAGAGGAGGCCCCAGCAAAATGGAAGATTTCGGGGGGGCCCGGCCATGACAAAATGTTGTATGAGGGGGAGAGGGGAGAGGAGGCCCCAGCAAAATGGAAGGTTTCGGGGGGGGGGGGGGCCGCCCATGACAGAATGTTGTATGAGGGGGAGAGGGGAGAGGAGGCCCCAGCAAAATGGAAGATTTCGGGGGGGGGGGCGCCCATGACGAAATGTTGTATGAGGGGGAGAGGGGAAAGGAGGCCCCAGCAAAATGGAAGATTTCGGGGGGGGGGGGGGCCGGCCCATGACAAAACGTTGTATGAGGGGGAGAGGAGGCCCCAGCAAAATAGAAGATTTGGGGGGCCCGCCCATGACAAAATGTTGTATGAGGGGGAGAGGAGGCCCCAGCAAAATGGAAGGTTTCGGGGGGGGCCCGCCCATGACAGAATGTTGTATGAGGGGAGAGGGGAGAGGAGGCCCCAGCAAAATGGAAGATTTCGGGGGGGGGCGCCCATGACAAAATGTTGTATGAGGGGGAGAGGGGAAAGGAGGCCCCAGCAAAATGGAAGATTTCGGGGGGGGGGGGGGGCGGCCCATGACAAAATGTCGTATGAGGGGGAAGGAGGCCCCAGCAAAATAGAAGATTTGGGGGGGCCCGCCCATGACAAAATGTTGTATGAGGGGGAGAGGGGAGAGGAGGCCCCAGCAAAATGGACGATTTCGGGGGGGGGCCGACCATGACAAAATGTTGTATGAGGGGGAGAGGGGAGAGAAGGCCCCGGCAAAATGGAAGATTCCGGGGGGGGCCGCCCATGACAAAATGTTGTATGAGGGGGAGAGGAGGCCCCAGTAAAATGGAAGATTTCAGGGGAGGCCGCCCATGACAAAATGTTGGCATGAGGGGGGAGGAGGCCCCAGCAAAATGGAAGATTTCGGGGGCGGGGCCGCCCATGACAGAATGATGGATGAGGGGGAGAGGGGAGAGGAGGCCCCAGCAAAATGGAAGATTTTCGGGGGGGCCGCCCATGACAAATTGTTGTATGAGGGGGAGAGGGGGAAGGAGGCCCCAGCAAAATGGAAGATTTTCGGGGGGGGGCCGCCCATGACAAAATGTTGCATGAGGGTAGAGGAGGCCCCAGCAAAATGGAAGATTTCGGGGGGGGGGGGGCCCGGCCATGACAAAATGTTGTATGAGGGGGAGAGGGGAGAGGAGGCCCCAGCAAAATGGAAGATTCCGGGGGGCCGCCCATGACAAAATGTTGTACGAGAGGGAGAGGGGAGAGGAGGCCCAGCAAAATGGAAGATTTCAGGGGGGGCCGCTCATGTCAAAATGTTGTATGAGGGGGAGAGGAGGCCCCAGCAAAATGGAAGCTTTCGGGGGGGGCGGGCCCGCCCATGACAAAATGTTGTATGAGGGGGAGAGGGGAGAGGAGGCCCCAGCAAAATGGAAGATTTCGTGGGGGGTCCGCCCATGACAAAATGTTGTATGAGGGGGAGAGGAGGCCCCAGCAAAATGGAAGATTTCGGGGGGGGGGCCCGGGCCATGACAAAATGTTGTATGAGGGGGAAGGAGGCCCCAGCAAAAAGGAAGATTTCGGGGTGCGGCCCGTCCATGACAAAATGTTGTATGAGGGGGAGAGGGGGAAGGAGGCCCCAGCAAAATGGAAGATTTCAGGGGGGGGGCCGCCCATGGCAAAATGTTGTATGAGGGGGAGAGGGGGAAGGAGGCCCCAGCAAATGGAAGATTTCAGGGGGGCCACCCACGACAAAATGTTGTATGAGGGGGAAGGAGGCCACGGCAAAATGGAAGATTTCAGGGGGGGCCGCCCATGACAAAATATTGTATGAGGGGGAGAGGAGGCCCCAGCAAAATGGAAGATTTCGGGGGGGGCCCGGGCTATGACAAAATGTTGTTTGAGGGGGAGAGGGGGAAGGAGGCCCCAGCAAAAAGGAAGATTTCGGGGGGGTGGGCCCGCCCATGACAAAATGTTGTATGAGGGGGAGAGGGGGAAGGAGGCCCCAGCAAATGGAAGATTTCAGGGGGGGCCGCCCACGACAAAATGTTGTATGAGGGGGAGAGGAGGCCCCAGCAAAATGGTAGATTTCGGGGGGGCCCGGGCCATGACAAAATGTTGTATGAGGGGGAGAGGGGGAAGGAGGCCCCAGCAAAAAGGAAGATTTCGGGGGGGCCCGCCCATGACAAGATGTTGTATGAGGGGGAGAGAGGAGAGGAGGCCCCAGCAAAATGGAAGATTTTCGGGGGTGGGGCGCCCATGACAAAATGTTGTATGAGGGGCAGAGGGGAGAGGAGGCCCCAGCAAAATGGAAGATTTCAGGGGGGGCCGCCCATGACAAAATGTTGTATGAGGGGGAGAGGAGGCCCTTCAAAATGGAAGATTTCGGGGGGCGGGCCGCCCATGACAAAATGTTGTATGAGGGGCAGAGGGGAGAGGAGGCCCCAGCAAAATGGAAGATTTCAGGGGGGGCCGCCCATGACAAAATGTTGTATGAGGGGGAGAGGAGGCCCCAACAAAATGAAAGATTTCGGGGGGGGGGGGCGGGCCCACCCATGACGAAATGTTGTATGAGGGGGACAGGGGAGAGGAGGCCCCAGCAAAATGGAAGATTTCGGGGGGGCTCCCGCCCATGACAAAATGTTGTATGAGGGGGAGAGGGGAGAGGAGGCCCCAGCAAAATGGAAGATTTTCGGGGGGGCCGCCCATGACAAAATGTTGTATGAGGGGGAGAGGGGGAAGGAGGCCCCAGGAAAATGGAAGATTTTCGGGGGGGGGGCGCCCATGACAAAATGTTGTATGAGGGGGAGAGGAGGCCCCAGCAAAATGGAAGATTTCGGGGGGGGGGGGTCCCGGGCCATGACAAAATGTTGTATGAGGGGGAGAGGGGGAAGGAGGCCCAGCAAAAAGGAAGATTTCGGGGGGGGCCCGCCCATGACAAAATGTATGAGGGGGAGAGGGGGAAGGAGGCCCCAGCAAAATGGAAGATTTCAGGGGGGGCCGCCCATGACAAAATGTTGTATGAGGGGGAGAGGAGGCCCCAGCAAAATGGAAGATTTCGGGGGGGCCCGGGCCATGACAAAATGTTGTATGAGGGGGAGAGGGGGAAGGATGCCCCAGCAAAAAGGAAGGTTTCGGGGGGGGGGGCCCGCCCATGACAAAATGTTGTATGAGGGGGAGAGGGGGAAGGAGGCCCCAGCAAAATGGAAGATTTCGGGGGGGGGGGGCCCGGGCCATGACAAAATGTTGTATGAGGGGGAGAGGGGGAAGGAGGCCCCAGCAAAAAGGAAGATTTCGGGGGGAGGGCCAGCCCATGACAAAATGTTGTATGAGGGGGAGAGGGGAGAGGAGGCCCCAGCAAAATGGAAGATTTTCGTGGGGGTGCCGCCCATGACAAAATGTTGTATGAGGGGAAGAGGGGGAAGGAGGCCCCAGCAAAAAGGAAGATTTTTGGGGGGCCCGGGTCATCACAAAATGTTGTATGAAGAGGAGAGGGGAGAGGAGGCCCCAGAAAAATGAAGATTTCGGGGGGGGGGGCACCCATGACAAAATGTTGTATGAGGGGGA